GAAGTGTGTCGTTTCCTGAAAGGGGGCAATGCAGAGACAGGCCGATATTTTAAACCCAGCCAAATAGGTCCTCCCCAACTAATGGAGACCTGTGCAGGTCATTAGGACTGTAAACTAGATATTTTGGTTCCCGCTTGTTTTCCAGGGGAAATTTCAAGAGAATCAGGAATGTAATCCTACCTACCATGTAATGTAGGATTACATTCCTGATTCTCTTGAAATTCGGTGGGACCATTTGCCTAGATCTGACCAATGAGTTTATTTTTTGTTTTGTCTTGTCATGATTTAATCAGACCAGCATTGTATCACAAGGATGAAAAATGGGGGAAAGCCACGCATACAGAATAATATGGTTAGTAATACCTAATACTTGTAGCCATTAGTTTATTCCTGGTACTATTCTAAATACTCTACCTATATTAATTCATTTACCATTCACAAAACCCTATGAGGTAGGTGTTTTATTATACCAATCATATAAGCAAGGAGGCCGAGGCACAGAGAGGTTAAGTGACTTTCCCAAGGTTACCCAGCTTGTGACTGGTGGAACCAGAATTCACATCCAGGCAGCCTGGCTCCTATGTCCATGCTCCAAACAACTCTCATTCGTTTACCTCAGTAAAATCACAGTGGGGCTGGATATCCAACAATAAAATAGTTAGCATTTACTAAGTCCCAACTATGTGCCTGACTTAGCACATTAGAAAAAAAATGCTTCTGGCTTCTAGTAATAACGAACCTGACCATTGAACAAATAAGATTGTTTTGTTCTTTCTCTGAATATAGTAAGTCCAGAGGTAGGTGGTTGCCATCATGGCTCCAGAGGTTCACAGCAGGGAGTGGCTTCTCTACATCTGTCTTTGCCTTTTGCTTCTGTCTTTTGCTTCATAGTCCCGAGATGGCTGCTGCAGCTCCAGACATCATGTCCACATTCAAGCCAGGAAGAAATGGGAGGGTTAAAGGGCCACTTCAGCTCGATCTGTCCCTTTTCATCAGGAAAAAATGCTTTCTCAGAAGCACATGAGTCCTCTGCTTAGATCTCATTGACTAAACCTGTGTCACATGGTCACTGCTGGCTGCACAAGTGGCTGGTCAAAGACAGGTCTGCATCTCACATGGCAGCTAGTGCTGAAAGCTTCTGGCAAGAAGGAGCATAAGAGAAGCTAGCTCCCTGAAGACAGATTCCAAAAAGAGTGCAGGACGAGCACCCATATATCTGTGCAGTTCCTTTCCCAGCCTGCCATTTGATTGACTCACACCACCTTTGATGGGGCAGGAGGCCACAAATGCTAGGGCAATACTTCTCCCACTGAGAAGGGCATGTGATATGGCCATGCCAGTTGTGCAGACCATATTCAGTGCTTGGTCCAGGAGTGGCTGTGTGATCCAACCATTCAGAATCCCTCTGTGGAATCAGAGGTGGAAGACTTGTTCTTTTCCCCTAGTGTATCATATACTGTAAGAAGACAGGTCTGCAGTGGTTGCTGGCCATCTTCCTCAGCAATTGGTGAAGGTTTATCTGCTCCTGGCTCTGAACCCACTGATGGCTGTCTTAGCTTGGGCTCCTCCAGAAACTTATTTTGAGAGAAAGAACTGAGTACAAGCTGTATATTGGGTGGTGACCCCAGGAAACACAGTTTCGGAGGCCAGAAGTCCAAAATTAAGGTGTGGGCAGGGTTGGTTCTTTCTAGAGGCTCTGAGGGTGAATCTATACCTTGCCTCTCATCTGTCGGCAACCGTTGGCATTTCCCGGCTTGTAGATGCCTTACTCCAATCTCTGCTTCCATCGTCACATAGTCTTCTTTCTGTATATCTGACTAATGAGTGTAAATGGAAGTGATGTGAGCCTATAAACGTATTTATTCTTCTGTACAATGGGGATGATTATAGACATACCTTGGAGATATTATGGGTTAGGTTTCAGACCACCTCAATAAAGCAAGTCAAATTTTTGGTTTCCTAGTGCATATAAAAATTATATTTATACTATACTGTAGTCTATTAAGAGTACAATGACATTATGCCTAAAAAATGTACATATCTTAATTTTAAAATATTGCTTAAAAATGCTAGCAATTATCTCTGCTTCAGAGAGTTGTAATCTTTTTGCTGGTGGAAGGTCTTGCTTCAGTGTTGATGACTGCTGACTAATCAGGGTGGTGGTTGCTGAAGGTTGGGGTGGCTGTGGCAATTTCTTAAAATAAGATAGCAATGAAGTTACCACATTGATTGACTTTTCCTTTCATGATAGTTTTCTCTGTATCATGTGATGCTGTTTGATAGCATATTACCCAGAGTAAAACTTCTTTCAAAATTGGAGTCGGGGGCCGGCCTGTGTCTCACTCAGGAGAGTGTGGTGCTGATAACACCAAGGGCATAGGTTTGGATCCCATATGGGGATGGCTGTTTGGCTCACTGGGTGAGCGTGGTGCTGACAACACCAAGTCAAGGGTTAAGACCCCCTTACCAGTCATCTTTAAAAAAAAAAAAAAATTGGAGTCAGTACTCTGAAACCCTGCTTGCTGCTGCTCTATCAGCTAAGCTTAGGTAATATTCTAAATCCTTTGTTGTCATTTCAACCATGTTCTCAGCATCTTCACCAAGGTTAGAGTCCATCTTAAGAAACCACTTACTTTGTTCATCCATAAGAAGCAGCTCCTGGGCCGGCCCGGTGGCGCACTGCTACAGTGCGCCGCTTGGGAGCGCGGAAGCGCTCCCACCGAGGGTTTGGATCCCACATACAGACCGGTTCCCGCTCACTGGCTGAGCAAGGTGCGGACGCAGCACCGAGGGTTGCGATCCTGTTGCCGGTCCCAGTCTGGTACGGGCACGACACTGAGGGTTGCGATCCGTTGCCGGACACGAAAAAAGACAAAAAGGAAAAAAAAAAAAAAAAAGAAGCAGCTCCTCATCCATTAAAGTTTTATCATGTGATTGCAGCAATTCAGTCAAGTCTTTAGGCTCCACTTCTAATACTAGTTCTTTTGCTATTTCTACCACGTCTGCAGTCACTTCCTCCACTGAAGTCTCAACCTCTCACAGTCGTCCATGAAGGTTGGAATCAACTTCTTCCAAACTCCTGTTAATGTTGATATTTGGACCTCCTCCCATGAATCACAAATGTGCTTAGTGACATCTAGAATGGTGAATCTTTTCCAGAAGGTTTTCAATTTACTTCACCCAGATCAATCAGAAAAGTCACTATCTATGGCAGTTATAGTCTGACAAAATGTATTTCTTAAATAATAAGACTTGAAAGTCAAAATTATTCCTTGACCATAGGCTGCAGAATGGATGTTGTGTTGGCAGACAGGAAGACAACATTAATCTCCTTGTATATCTCCATCAGAGCTCTCAGGTGACCAGCTACATTGTCAATGAGCAGTGATATATTGAAAGGAATCTTTTTTTCTGAGCAGTAGGTCTCAACAGTGGGCTTAAAATATTCAGTAAAGCATGCTATAAACAGCCTTTGTTGTTCCATTTACAAAGCACAGACAGAGTAGATTCAGCATAATTAAGGGCCCTAGGATTTTCAGAATGGTAAATCGGCATCGGCTTGAACATAAAGTTACTGACTGCATTAGCCTCTAACAAGAGAGTCAGCCTATCCTTTGAAACTTTGAAGCCAGGCATGACTTCTCCTCTTGTAGCTATGAAAGTCCTATATGGCATCTTCTTCCAGTATGAGCCTGTTTCATCCACACTGAAAATCTGTTGGCCAGCATAGCCATCTTCATCAATTACCTTAGCTGGATATTCTGGATAACTTGCTGCAGCTTCTACATCAGCACTTGCTGCTTCACCTTGTACTTTTTTTTCTTGGTGGATGGATGGTATGGGTATCTGAACCCTTGACCTTGGTATTATAACACTGCACTCTAACCAACTGATCACCTTGCACTTTTATGTTATGGAGATGGCTTGTTTTTTTAAACCTCCCCAACCAACCTCTGCTAGCTTCAGACACGTTGGCTATTTGGAACAAGAGGCCTAGCTTTCTGCCTGTCCCAGCTTTTGATATGCTTTCCTCATTAAGCATAATCGTTCTAGCTTTTGATTTAAAGTGGGAGACATGCAACTCTTCCTTTCATTTGAACACTTAGAGGCCATTGTAGGGTTATTAATTGGCTTAATTTCAACATCGTGTGTCTCAGGGAATAGGGAGGCCTGAGGAGAGGAAGAAAAATGGGGGAACCATTGGTGAGTGGAGCAGTCAGAACACACACAACATTTATTAAGTTTGCACCCAAAACAATTACAATAGGAACATCAAAGATCACTAATCACAGATCACCATTACAGATATAGTAATAATGAAAAATTTTGAAATATTGCAAGAATTACCAAAATGTGACACAGAGACATGAAGTGAGTACAAGCTGTTGGAAAAAAATGGCCTTGATAGACTTGCTCAACACAGGGTGGCCACAGACCTTCAGTGCGTAAAAAATGCAGTATCTGTGAAGCTCAATACAGTGACATGCAGTAAAACAAGGTATGCCTGTATCCTCACCTGGCGTTGTAAAGATTAATTGAAATAATGTAAAGAAGATAGGTAGCACGGGGTCTGGCATACAGTAAGCTCTGTATAAGTGCAAACTGCCCCTGGTGTGATGGTCAAGAGCATGCTGTCTAGGGCCACATTGCCTGGGTTCAAATCTCAGCTCTGCCACTTAACTGCTATGTGACCTTGAACAAGTTACTTAACCTTTTTGTGCCTTGATTTCCATATCTGTAGACTGGGGTGATAATAATATATCAGTACCTAATTAAGCTGGTGTGAAGATTAAATAATCAATATATGTAAAGCACTTTGAACAGCACCTGGCACAGAGTAAACACTCAATACATTTTGGTTAATTTTTATTGCTATCACCATCATCACTAGTTTGTCCAGGTATATTGCTGAAATAGACTATAAGGGTGCAAAACGGTATTTGCTCATCTTGTTTCCTTGTCATATCCTAAGTTGAAACCCGAGGCTCCTGGAAATCCCGCAGTTTGAATAATCGAAGAGCTGGAGCAGTGGAGCATCCAATTACCGTGCCTCACAGCTGTAGCCTGGGGAGTAAGGTGAGGCCTCAGCACTGTCTAGCTGGGATTGTGGTCCTGTTATGGAGAAAGCCCTGCTTTGTATGCAGCTGCCTTGCCTTCCTTTGGCTGCATAATTGAGCCTTTTTGTTTTATTTTAAAGCATCTTGAGGAATCCAAAGCCCATTCCAGCTGACAGCAGTGAAAGCCACAGCGTGTCACGTCTCTAATGAGCCTTGCTGGTGCTCTTATGGCCCCACAGAGGCGGCCAAGCAGGGAGCAGGCACACAGTCCTGACCGTATCCACCAGCTCTCTCTGAGCACAGGCCACCAAGTCCAACTTCATTGTGAGGCTCCCTGAGCACTCCTAGGAACCCCCATGCCTGTTATTGTCTCAGAAGGGCACGGAGTTGCCTCCTGAATGCCGGGCTTGTTTGTAACCTTTATGGGCTGGCAGTGAGAAAACAGAAATCTATTATCAATGTCATGGGCCTGAAGGAGCTGTTGTTCACAGAGGTAACTCTCCTTTGGCCACCAGACCCAGGATTCCCCAGAGCCTTTGGACAGGCAGAAGACAGCTGTTCTGAAAACAAGGGGTGGCAAGTGGCCAGCCCAGGCTAAGTGTGGTCTGCTGTGTTTGGGCTGCAGAGGGTTGAAACTGAATTGAACCAGTTTAAAATTGGGAGATTTTACATAAAAATCTGGATTTCTAGCTTTCCTTGGAAGATGGGAAGAATGACAATACATTTGGAAAGTGTCAGGTAGAGCGGAATGGCTGACCCTTTCAGACTGGACATGGTTTTGCTCATTGCTTCAGCCTTCCACTGGCCCCTTTATACATTCATGCTGTGAGACGAGGGTTTATAGTGGGGTGAACAGAGCAGGACCCCGAGCTGGGCTGCCTGGCTTTGCATCCTGCCTCTGTCACTTACTAGCTGTACAGCCTTAAGCAAATTCCTAACCCCTGTGGGCCCCACTTTCCTCCTCTGCAAAATGGTTTATAATAGTTTACCTAGCTCACAACTTGTGAGAACTAAATGAGTCAGTATAGGTGCTTATCCTGGCACATAGTAAGTGCTATTTAGGTGTTAATATCTACTAGCATTACACTACTTGCCTAGTCTCTACAGGTATTCGAGATTACAATCTGTGATAAGAGTTTTCCATAGAAGAAAAAAATGTATTTCTTTCCCTGTATGCCTCTCTGAACTCACTAATAAGCATTTTCTCCCTCCCTTCCATCCCCTCTCCTTCATCTCAGCATCTTGGAATGTAACAATTATGTTAGAGGTGAGCTAGCCACTGTAACAAACCAACTACAGCTGTTAGGTGGCTGAACCTGGTAAGTTTCTCTCTGGTTTACATAACAGTGAATGTAGGTGTGTCCCTGACCCGCAGGTTTGCTTCCCATGGTCACTCAGAACCCATGCTCCTGCACTCTTGAGAATCCGTGCTCCTCTAGGTCCTGGCAGTTCTCAGCTTTCAGAGGGCATGGGGGGTATGAGGGAGTGAAGCCTTACTTCTCCTCAACTCTCTTAGCCCAGAAGTGATAGCCATTTCTTCTCATATTTCATTGGCAAGGACTAGGCACATAGTCTTAGATACAGGAGTCCTGGCAAGTGTTGCCCCTGACTGGGCATCTGTTCTACAGCAACAGCTCTACTCTGGGGAGGTGAGGGGGCAGGAATCTTGGGTGGACCCTCAGATGCCTTTGCCGCCATAGTCATACTAAATAAGCTGCAAACCTACGTCTCCCAGAACCTATCTTCTTGTTGCTACTTTTAGCCTGTGACATGTTTCCAGGGGTGACTGCCTTGTTTTTGTTTTTGTTTTTTCTTTATCAGGGCAAGAGGGAGAAAAAAAGTTTTTTTATTTTTAATTTCATGCTTCAAATTCTTATATACCATAAAAGCATTGATATAGGATATTAAAATTAGATTTGGGCAATATTATTTATCTGAGTTTTTTATTTGGAGAGAAATACAACTTAGCCATTGTGCTTATATACTATACATTGAAATGGCTGCCAAATTAGGGGGAAAATATAATTTTTTCTGATTGAAAAAATTTAATCAGAATTTTTATGGTCTTTCTTAAAATTGCTATCAAGTTAACTGTATACATTTAGCATTCAGCTTTGTTAAGGTAGGTTAAAGAAATTTAAACTGGCAAAGGAATAATTTACATATTTTGCCAAGTCATCCCCAAGGTGGTGGTAAAGCTATCTTTTTAGGTGTGTCCGTGAGCATGTTTCCAGCAGAGATCAGTATGAGAGTCTGAGTGGACTAGGTGGGAAAGACCCACCCTCAATGTAGGTGGGAACTATCCAATCCGCTGGGGGTCCAGAGAGAACAAAAGACAGAGGAAAGAGGTGAAGCTCTCTCTGGATCTGCTGGAGCTGGGATACACTCTTCTCTCCCGTCCATGGACATCAGAGCTCGAGACACTTTGGCTTTTGGGTTCCAGAACTTACACCAAGGACACCATCAGCTTCCCTGGTTTTGAGGCCCTTGGACTTGGACAGAGCCATGCTACTGGCATCCAGTTTATAGATGGCCTATCGTGGGACTTTTCTTCATAGTCACGTGAGCTAATTCCCCTAATCCCGACCCGCGGGATATTCAACGCAGACCTGGAGGGGGGAGTGGGAATTGGATGGGACAAGAGACGCGAGAGATGGGAGACAAGACAGTATTCTGATCAAGTCTCGTTTATTGATTCTTAGGTTACATCTTATATAGGAAAAAGCAAGCATATTGTAAGGAGTTAGGAATGCAGGAATACGATAAGATCTTGAGAAGAAACAAAGTCAGAAAATCTCTGATGCAAAGAAGCCCCCAATCTTTACAAGAAAGCAGAAACTAGAAAGGAGATAAGAGGTCACTCTTGAGTAGACTTGCATAGCCAGGAGCACAGCGTCTCAGGCACAGATTATGAGGCAGATATCCCATAAGCACAGACATCTGACATACGCAGATTGTCATGTAGGCCTGGTCACACAAGAAGGGGTGTGGGGCTACAGGCTCCCAACACCCTAATAAATCCCTCTCATATAATTATAACATATCCTATTGATTCTGTCTCTCTGGAGAACCCTGACTAATACAGTCATCTTCCTGCTCTTTAGAAGCCCCTAAGTTTGCTGTCTGGATCCAAAATTGACTGACAGCTTTCTCTGTCCTCCAAATCGCAGTCTTTAGGTGAATCGAGTGCAGGCACAGTGTTTGGAAGGAAAACCCAGAATCTGCAGTTTCATGTCTGACCATTTCCAGTCTGACATGACTTCTACCCCAAGCACATTACAAAATCGAGGAGTTTTAAAAAACTGAAAAGTGGAAATACCCAGCTTTCTCCCTCAGTTTCTGGGCTGTGCTTTTTTTTGTTTGTTTTGCTTGTTTTTTTCTGTTTATTTATTTATTTTTTTATTGGAACATAGTTGATTTTATTTATTTTATTTTTTTGTCTTTTTTTTTGAGACCGGCCTCACCGCGCTCAGCCAGTGAGCGGTGACCGGCCATCCCCATATAGGATCTGAACCCACGGCGGGAGCGCCACTGTGCTCCCAGTGCCTCACTCTCCCGAGTGCGCCACGGGCTCGGCCCGGAATATAGTTGATTTTACAACTGTGTGGGGTACAGCATTGAATATCAGAACCTGTGTGCAATATGTGATGTTCAAATCAGGATAATTAGTATATTCTTCATTATACAATGCAATTGATTTTCTGGCCCTTTACCAATTCCTCCCTTTCCCCCCACTCCTCTCCCTTTCCCACCTCTGGTAACCTCAGTTCTGTTTTCTTCTCCTGAAAGTTCAACGTATTATGGTGATTGTTGTATCTTTTGTCCTTTTTTATTTGTTTATTTTATTTTTTTAACTCCCACATATGAGTGAGGACATGTGATATTCCTCTTTCTGTGCCTGGCTTATTTCACATAACATAATTTTCTCTAAATTCATGCATGTCGCTGCTAATGGCAGTATTTCATTCTTTTTTATGGCAGAGTAGTATTCCGTTGTATAAATATACCACATTTTCCTTATCCAGTATTCTGATGATGGATATTTAGGTTGGTTCCAACTCTTGGCTATTGTAAATAGAGCTGCAAAAAACATGGGAGTGCAGATGTCCCTTCTACATGATTTCTATTCCGTTGGGTGGACTGCAGTATGTTTAGTGCAACATCTTTTTTTGTTGGTGGAGGTGGTAGCTGGCTATTATGGGGATCCAAGCCCATGACCTTGGTATTATAAAGCAGCCAAGTACCACATCTTGAAGAAAAATCTGTGCTTGTGGCCACATGAGTTGACTCTGATTATTTATTTGCAGCTCCATTCAAGGATTTTTTGGGGGAATTTCATACTCCTTTAGCAAAAGGGTGAAAAACTTTTTCAATCTAAAGTCCCATCTCAGATATGGCTTCTACCTCAGCACCTCTCTTTGTATCTTGATTTAACACTTGTTTAATTCTGTCTCTTATTATAGTAATATAGATGTTACCCCCAGCTCACTAGGCTTGCTGAAAGCAGATGGTTTATGGTGGTCAAGGGTGCAGACTCTGGAGGCGGACTTCCTGGATTCAAACCTCCATTCTACCCCATACTAACTGTGGAGGATGTTAAAAAGTTAATTCGCCTCTGTGTACCTTGGTTTTCTTATCTGTAAAATGGATATATTAATAGTATCTGTCTATTGGGATGTTGTGAGCATTAATGATGAAATCTATGGTAAGCATTCAACATAGTGCCTGACACACAGTGAACAATTAATAACTAACTAATAAATAAATAAATAAATGATAAATCAATAAGTAACAACTCATGTTATTCACCTTTTGTTTTCCTAGCATCTACCATAGTACCTTATGCATCCTATCTGCTTAATAAGTGTCTGCTAATTAATCTGAAACAAAGATTGAGGAAATAACTAAATTATTATTCTTCCACTTCTGGAATAATCTAGATAAAGAACTGACTGCAAGTCAGAATCCTCTGTAGGAACATTATAAAAAAGACAAATTCCTGTTGTCCAGCCCCATTGAAGTGGAATCCCAGTGGGTCTGGTCAAAACCTGGAATCTATATTTTTAACAAGCCCAGAGGATTCTTAACAGCCAGCCCAGCACCTAGCAGTTTGGCAGGCTTTGCCAAGTGTTTGATGTTAGGTAGTGGTAAATGTCTGGTGAGTTTTAAATATAGGGCCCTTTCTGTCCATATAGCCCCAAAGGTTGACATTAAAAGGAAGCAAAAAAAAAAGTCCCCAATTTACTTAAGCGCTTTAAGGTGTGTGGAGGGAAAAGCCCTTTTGAGTCTGTGTGTGAGTAGATAAGAAGTTGCCGGAGAGTTGATAAAGTAATCCATTTGTGTTAGGAGCCAGCAATCAGAGAAGAAACAAGCCCAAGGTGACCTTTGGCTTGAGAGCAAACTCAGCAACAGGAAGGTGAGTGACACTTGGTCAGTGGTACAGAGAAGTCCATTCAGATCTGCTATTTCAAAACACGTGGCTGGTTGGGGTTTGAATCAGGCAGGTGACCTTGCTGCCCTCTGATAGTTATCATGGTATTTGAAGGTGTCAGGTTCTGGGTTTGAATGCTCACCTACATTCATTCCCCTTGCTGCCCTCTGGGGAAGGAGGGCACTGGGGTAGGGTCATATCTTTCTACACAGGTGACAGGATACAGCACCACAGTCCCAACACAGTTGGGTTGAGCTGCCTCTGAATTCCACTGCTTTCTGCTTCTACTTTTTCCCTCTCTCAAGGAGATCAGATGCCTTCACTAATTTAGATGTAGGTGGCATGAAAAACGTGCGTGCGTGTTTTCTTTGGGAGCAGAGACTTTTATGGCATTGATACCCCAGCTTTGCTGTGATTTCTAAATTTGCTGAGTTTGTAAATAGTTAGGAATACCTGCTAAACTTTGATAAGACGAACTTTTCCAGTAATTTTTAGAATCACTATGTACAGTGTAGAGTGCTTATAACCTCCAAAATGATAAATAAAAAAGGTCAACAGAATACCCTTACTGCAATCCTCAATGTTTATGGAATATCAAAATCAAATATAGAAGGTTAAAAAAGAAGGATATGGGCAATAAAACATCACCCACTTCAAAGCAGGACCAGAGAGTACAACATTGAGCTACCACAAATCCCTCTGTATTTAGGAGAAAGGGATGCAGGCACCATAAAAGCAAACTTTATTGACATCTGGATTGTGTCAGTGTTCCATGGGAAAGAGCTCAAAACTCTGCTTCAACAGCTTTCAGCCTAACTGTGGGGCTAGGCTAGTACACAGGTGTTCACTGCATAAATGTATATACAGGAGAGACCCATGCTAAGGGCTTGCCCTCTTTAACTGGCTTGCAAGACACAAGATAGTTTTTTCTAAGGTGTGTCAACCACTGCTGTTCAAATACCGAACAGCAACAATCACATCTTTGCTGGCCGACCAGTAGGTACATAAGTGGTAGCACCTGCTCCACAATCTTGAGGGTATGTCTTTTGGCATTTTTCCTTATTTCTTCAGCTCCAGTGCCTGCATGCCTACCAGCAAAAAGTCCAGCAGCTCCCTCTTGAAGCTCTCCCTTTCAGAGTCAAGAAGAAGACAGTGTTCATTGCTTCTACACCCTCAAGTTGGCAGAGAACTCAAGTCTCATTAACAGCAAGGAATTCACACTGCCACAGGTGTGGCTCTCAGACTGGTCCCTCACAGGCCAACAGATGACCCTGGTACACGACAGAGCTGTGGGAGTTACATGATCGAGACCCAGCATAAGCTGCCTTTGCTCTTGGAGAGAGGAAAATGTCAATTCCTGGGTTCCCTGAGTTGCTGCTCCTGATACCCAGTTTCGTCAGGTCACAGACAGAGCTGCCTCCTATGTGTCAGCCTGCCCAGAAAGGCCAGGTATTCACCACCATTTCTTTTCCATCCCCGGGACCCATCTGGGGGTCTGGCAACTTCTCTTTTAAACCCTCAGAACTCAGTGTGTCTGCTTATACCCTCCTTCCTGGACAGGAGCAGAGAGGCCACCTCTGGCATCAATGGCTCCAAAGTGATTTATTTTCTAAGAGAGTCTGCCAAAGAATTATAATAAAAAATACAATAAAGTTATAAGGTCTGTGATTTGAGGAGCATTTGGTTTTTTATTTTATTTTATTTGCACTTCTCTTGCTAGAGAAGAGGAAAGGGGGACAAATCTTATTTCTAGCAGGTATCTCAATTTTTGCTATTCCAAACAGTTGCTATGAAAACCTATGTATGGTACATGACCCATGTGTTCACGTGTGAATATTTCTCTAGGGAATATCTAGACATGGAAAAGCGAAGTTAAAAATTTGTGCATTTTAAATATTAATAGATACTGTCAAATTGTCTTGTGAAAAGGTTGACCCACTTTATATTCTCACCATACTTTTTGAGATAACCTGCTCACACTCTTACCAATATATGTTATTATTTTTCATTTGTGCCAATCTAATGGACAGAAAATGGCATCTCAATGTACATATGACCCTGATTACTAGGAAGGTAGAGTATCTTAATGTTTTTTGGCTATTTGTTTGTTTTCTTATTTTTTTTCATTTCTTTTATTTTTATTTATTTTTTGCTATATCTATTTCCTCTTCTTTGTAATATTCTTCACACTATTTAGGTTTAGTATGAGTGTGTTTAATGCTTCTCCACTGAATAGTATGCTAATTAGGTTTACTTAAATTAAGGAAGTTTCTTATTCTTTTTATTCCTAGTTCCCAGGGGTTTTTTTTTTTTTTTTTTTTTTGGTTCTTTTTAAGCAGAATTGGTTGTTAACCTTTAACAGATGGATTTCTTAAATATGCTAAAATGATCATATGCTTTTTTTTCCTTAATCTATTAATGTAGTAAATTACACAGGTTTTATAATGTTGCATTAGACTTATATTACAGGGATAAACTTTATTTGATCTGAATGCAGTGACATGGGATGTTCAATTATGCACTAAACAACCCATTCACATGATAGCAAGTTGTGCAGTACACCTGTTCAACCATGTATAGTAGCTCTGAGATGTACTATTTAGGAAAAAAAATTGCTAGATTCAATACATTCATTGCATTTAAGACCATTTGCATCCATAGTATTGGAAAGACTGACCTATGGTTTCTCCCTTTTTTTGTCTTTCTTTATCCAAAATTATGTAGTGTTATGAAATTAGTTGGGTAGCTTCCCATCTAGTTCTATGCCTTGAAATAGTTTACATAACATGGACGTTTTCTGTTTGTAAAGTTTTGGAAGCCCTTGCTTTTATAACCAGCTGGGTCTTCTGTCTACATCTTTATTTACTTGTCCATTTTTTATTTCACAGAGAAAATTTTAAAAAGAAATAAAAAGGCCATCGGATGCTCAATTCAGGGTTTCTCGAATTAAGTTCATCCCTGCTCTCAGAGGCCCTTGGTCTAAAGGATGGGATATGTGCCAGCCTACATTTAATGGGCTTAATCTTCTGAGAAATGGAATCCGTTCTAAACAGAGTTTAAGACCATCCCAAACTCAAACCACCCATCTGACCCAAAATGAACAGAATTGACTACAGATCCTAAGTCATGGGGCCTGACTTGATTTTCTCCTTTTTTGTCGTTTTTACTGATCGGTAACGGGATCGCAACCCTCGGTGTTGCGCCCGCACCGTGCTCAGCCAGTGAGCGGGAAACGGTCACCACATGGGATCCGAACCCTCCGCGGGAGCGCCGCCGCCCTCTCAAGCGGCGCACTCTCCAGTGCGCCACCGGGCCGGCCCTTTATTTTTTTTATTTTTTTATTTTTTTATTTTTTTTTTCATTTTTTTTTTTTAAAGGTTAGTAATATGTTCAGGTTTTCCTCTCAAACCAATTTTTGGACTTTATATTTTCTTGGAAAATTGATCATTTCAAACATTTGATCAAGTTCATGCTGCGAATTCATGTTTTAAGCTTCTCCCTCTGCTCTAAACAAAGCCTACAGATAAAAACACTTTAAAAATTAGAAAAGATATAGCTGTGCTCAAAAATAAGATACACATTTCCATGAACTGGAAATGGAACAGAAGCTACCGTGTGTAAAGGGGAACTGAAGCCAGAGCCTGTTGTGCTCTGGGTCTGGGGACTGCAGGATGGGACAGGAGGGGCATCTGGATGCTTGGGTGCTCCTCCTGCCTCAGCTGGTCACACAGATAGCTGCCCTTGGATGCTTTCCTGCCACGATATGCTCCCTGCTACCCCTTGCCTATGTGTTGGCAGCAGCCCTTTCATGGGTATATTGTGGCCTGTGGCTTCCTCCTTCAATCTGATCCCTATACTGACATCTTTCAGGGATTCCTTAGAATTCCTGGTCCTTGAGAGCACCCTGTGTTATCTTCCTGGGCTGTTACGGATTTTGTTTTAATATATAATTTATATCATGTTTAGGGGTTTGGGTTAAGAGGGGGAGGCATATGACAGGTTTTATCATAATGGTGTAAAACACACAAACTCCATGCACTTTGGAACCAGAAGCTACATGAAAATTAAGTTAGAACAAAGATCTCAGTTTCAAAAATTAACATCTGTGTCTCTACCAGGAAGCAAGCCCTGCACTGAGCACCTGTAATACATAAATGCATTTTCAATATAAAAGATTCAAACACACTGAAGTCTTGGAATAATACATGTTAGTTCCTGTCACCCCCAAAACTTCCACTCTCTTCAGAAGGAACCTACATTTAAGTTTGTTGTAGATTGTATATCCTTCCAGTCCCTTAATGGCACACTTAGAAGTATTTGTATCTAATGTGTGCATTGTTTCATTTATTCTCACAACAACCATAAGAGGTTAGTGTTATCAAACCCATTTTATGGATGAGAAAACTGAGGCCTAAGAATCTTAGTTTAGGTAATCATGCCAAAGGGCCCACAGGTAATTAGTTTGAACCCATGTTTCTCACTTTGAAAAGAGCCAGTGCCTCTTTTTCAAGAGATGGAAGCATAATGTTTGAAAACATAATAATTCAAAGAGGCTTGCTCAGTGATATGTTTCTTATAAATCCAGAATGGTCTGAGGGAGTTCCAAGAGACACTTGGGGATGAGGCCTATCAGCTCAGTTACACTTTATTTTATTTTTTATTTGTTGGTGGTGTGTGTGTGTGGGGGGGGGTGTTTTCTTTTTATTAACTTTTAAGAGTTCTTTACGTATTCTTTTTTTTTTTGGCGGCTAGCTGGTACAGGGATCAAACCCTTGACCCTGGTTAGAGCACCACACTCTAACCAACTGAGCTAAGCAGCCAGCCCTGGTTCTTTACATATTATTGATGTACATCCTTTTTATCTGATATGTAGTTTGCAAATATTTTCTCCCAATCTATGGCTTATCTTTTCTAGATCGTTTGAAGATCAGAAGTTCTTAACTTTGAGAAAGTCAAATTTACGAATTTTTTTCTCTTTTGGATAATGCTTTTGGTATCATATCTAAGATATCTTTATGTAACTCAAAGTCACAGTGATTTTCTCCTTGAAATAGTAAAGCTTTATGTTTTATATTTAGGTCCATGGTCTGTTTAAGTTAATACTTGTATGAGGTATGGATAGAAATTTTTAAAAAAAATATACATATAGATGCAATTTTCCAGCACGATCGTTGAAAAGACTTTCCTTTCTCCATTGAACTATCTTTGCACCCTTGTCAGAAATCAATTGGTCATATATGTGTGGGTCTATTTCTGGACTCTATTCATTCTCAATGAATTTTTATTATCTAACTTTATGTCAATACCGTACCATTTTGAGCTTTATAATAAACCTTAAAATCATGTAGTGTAAGTACTGTGCTGAAACTGGCTTGCACCCATTCAGCCCCACTCCTTTAGCAGCTGTCCTTTCAGAGACCTGAGTGGGGCACACCCTTTCCTTATAATTTGAATTTCAGGTGACCCTTATCTGGGTTTCAGATCTTCCCTTTTGCTATGTCGTTTTACGGCCTGTGAAAAGACATTTTTAAGTGCCTCCAAGTAAGGATTCTCGTGTTAGGGACTCTGCCATGCCCCTGGCGGGAATCCGGGAAACCCTGGTAGTGGCTTCTGCAGGGACGAGCTGCTGGCCCGGCGCTTGGGCAGGTGGACCTGTGCTTTCTCGCTCTTCTCCCTTCTGCTCCGGGGATTTCCCCAGTGGACGCGGCCCCGAGGCTAGGAAACGAAAACTGAGCTATTTACTTATTTTAAATCCAGAGTAAAGGGTTGGAGATGATTTCAGCGCCTCCCAGAATGTCCGCCGCTTCCTGCTGGTCGTCAGCCTGGGGTGCGGCGGGACCCACACAAACGCCAACCCCCTTGCCGGGCCTTCCCACGGCTGAGGGAGAGCCTCGGCCTCCCTGCACCCCACAAGCTGTGGAGGGCTGGCGTCTGCCTTCCAGCGCGAGTCACTGAAACAAGGCCCCAGGCCCTGAATGCACTGGCACCGCGACGACTGCGTAAACCTCAGAGCCCGAGGCCGCCTCCCCCGCTGGGCTCCTCGCAGCAGCAGCGACGGGGCTTCGGCTGTGAAGCTGGATTAATCGTGCGTGCTGGAGGAGGCCCCTCCCGCGGCCCAGGGCGCGTGGCTGCAGGTCGCCTTCCCACGGCTGAGGGACAGCCTCGGCCTCCCTGCACCCCACAAGCTGCCGAGGATGTAGACAGGCCCGTGGAGGGCTGGCGTCTGCCTTCCAGCGCGAGTCACTGAAACAAGGCCCCAGGCCCTGAATGCACTGGCACCGCGACCACTGCGTAAACCTCAGAGCCCGAGGCCGCCTCCCCCGCTGGGCTCCTCGCAGCAGCAGCGACGGGGCTTCGGCTGTGAAGCTGGGTTAATCCTGCGTGCTGGAGGAGGCCCCTCCGGCGGCCCAGGGCGCTTGGCTGCAGGTCTCCGCCGCACGTTTAAACGCCGCAGCGCCCGGTCACGTGACCCGCGGCCCCGCCCCCTCCGGCCCGCCCCGGAGCGCGGTCAGAAGCTCTTTCCTCGGGGACCTGCCCGGGGTCGCTGCTCACACGGACGAGTGGAGAAACTAGTAGGGGGTGGCGGGAGCTAACTTCCCGTTTTCGCAGGCAGCTGGGACTTCCTCGGTGAAACTAGAGGGCCCTTTGTCTTCAAGCCAGATGTTCCC